GTAGATAACAGTAATAGTAAAGGTAAAATGTACAACTAGTTTTATGTAGATAACAGTAATGTAAAGGTAAAATGTACAGCAGTTTTATGTAGATAACAGTAATGTAAAGGTAAAATGTACAACAGGTTTATGTAGATAACAGTAATGTAAAGGTAAAATGTACAACAGTTGTATGTAGATAACAGTAATGTAAAGGTAAAATGTACAACAGTTGTATGTAGATAACAGTAATATAAAGGCTTAACCTGCTACTAGTAAGAATGTGCTAATTATTTTATTTTTATATTTCGTTATTAGTGACAATACCAACGCTCTCACAATTAAAGTGTAATTAAAATTAAGATATCGTTTAGCTAACAACTTGTGCTGTGTCTAACCCTAAAGCGTAACCCTACTTTCTGTGATATGCGAGCTTAAGTTCATATATAAAATGTTAAATCTCATAACGTTTTGTTCTAACAAAAGGTTGGTTGTTATTTCAAACTGTAGACCAATGTTACATCTCATAACTTTTTGTTCTAACAAAAGGTTGGTTGTTATTTTAAACTGTAGACCAATGTTACATCTCATAACTTTTTGTTCTAACAAAAGGTTGGTTGTTATTTTAAACTGTAGACCAATGTTACATCTCATAACTTTTTGTTCTAACAAAAGGTTGGTTGTTATTTTAAACTGTAGACCAATTTCTTTTTAAAAATATTCTCTTTTGTATCTAAAACTCGTAAAATCTTTTGGTTATGATCCTATAACTAATATTCTACTAGTGATTGTTTTTTTTTTTAAGTTTATCGAACCACGTCTGTTTCATCACTAAATATATCTCATTAACTTGTTAGTTTGGCCCTGCATGGCCAGGGCGCTCGACTCGCAATCTGCGGGTCGCGGGTTCGAATCCCCGTCACATCAAACATGCTCGCCCTTTCAGCCGTGGGGGCGTTATAATGTGACGGTCAATCCCACTATTCGTTGGTAAAATGGTAGCCCAAGAGTTGGCGGTGGGTGGTGATGACTAGCTGCCTTCCCTCTAGTCTTACACTGCTAAATTAAGGACGGCTAGCGCAGAAAGCCCTCGTGTAGCTTTGCGCGAAATTCATAACAAACAAACATATGTTAGTTTTACGCCGAGTTTAGGCACCTTTTTACCTTAACTCCAATATACATAATTTAAAACTCAAAGCTAAAATACACCCAACGTCACAGTGACGTATTAAAGTTGGCATAATGCCAAATTGTAAGCACGCGAGATGTTGTATACAAAGTATGTTATTTCTTCTAAATAAATGTATTTTAATATTATCTCTCCATTTTAACACACGTTATAGGTATTATTAACATAGGTATGTGTTAGTTTCACATTGTCAGTACAGAATCATCACGTTTATAAATCAAATCGGTGGCAGAAAACATCACAGAAATAGAACCACTCAGCTAACTGTACTCCCGATCCCTTCCACCTCGTTAGAAGACGAATCTCGCGAGTCTGTAAGTAACCCACTTGTAGACGATGTCACATCAACCGTTATGAGTACAAGGGAAAAAACAACTTACCTGACAAGATACATCAAGAGAGACTTTGGAGGCGGCATTCTCACGTTGTGCTGAAGCTCGGCCATGGTGTACTGACAGCTTTCAATAAGTTCTCCGGTTAAATCCCGCTACTGCTTAACCAATAACCGGTCCCAAGAATGCACGGAAAGTCTTGGCAATGTTGCCTACAAGTACGAGAAACTGTATCGGCTGGCGAGTAGTCTGGCTTTTCTTACAAAACGTCAGGTGGAATAGTCGGGTTAAAACAAAATAAGAACGTTATTTGGAGAATTGATCGCTCTCGAACAAGTAAGTTTTCAGCAGTTTAAGTTCGAACGTTGGCTGAAATGTAACCATCCACTACAACTAAATAGGTCGAATTTGTAGGTAGCGTTCACAAACTGGACGACACATAATATCTGACGATATTAAACCCAACATATCGCCTTATATATCTTATTTTTCCGATCTCCTACAACACACCTACTGTGTACACGTTCAACCAATTAAAACGGGACTTTCTCCCCATTGGTCAATTATACTTTTAAAGAGAGTGGCACTCTTTTTTTTCGAAAATCCACCTATCATCCACCTAAGTATGTGTCGTTATTGCTGAGATCCATACCCCCCCCCTCCCCTCCACGTCCGCAAACTTGGACTGACCTTGCCCTGGTTGTCGCCGTAAGCCAATCACAACATAGAAACCCAATAGTTTCCAAGTATTGTTGATAGCGTTTCGGGGTTGATTACGGGGTAAACAATCCTTTCAACTAAATTCAATGTTTAGCAACTTCTAATTATCTTAAACTTTAAGAAGTATACATAAAAAAAAACAAAACTGACACATTTTAAGATATTATGATGTCATTACGTTCTTGAGCCGGACGAGGAATGGAGATTCAACCAATTTCAACACCACCCATTAGATTCTAGTCCTATTAGTATCATAAAGATGGCAACCATCAAATATCGCATGTTACAACTAAAAAGGAGTTTTAACAGGATTGTTTCTTTAATATTGTTGTTTTCGTCGTGCCAAGCCTAAACGATGAGATATCTGGACTTTGTCTACCACGGGGAATTGAACCCCGGATTTTTAGCTTTGTAAATTCATAAATTTACCGCTTAACAACCGGTAGACTATTGTTTGATAATAGACACTCGAAAACTTGTTTGCATTCCGATAATTTGTATTTTATTTTACTTGTTTTTTTTCAACGTACGAAAATACCGTTACAGGTAAACATTATTATAAAGCTGATAAAATAATAATAAATAAATAAATAAAACCCTTTTATCCAAAATAGCACTATTCGGTTTATTTTTTAACGATTTTTTTTAACCATTCGTAAAATTAAACGCCAAAAACTTACCGGGAAAATCATGAAAAAAATATCCGAAAAACGTATAACACCAAGTATAAAGATATTATTATTAAATATTTCATTGCGAAAGATGAGATAGGTAGGGCGTGGCCAATCGTTATCATGCTAGACTGTAGATTCAAAAGAGTTTACGGAAAGGTTTTTTTTTTAAACGTAATCTCATTCAGAGTAAGAACTGTTTCATCTTGGTTTGTTTGATTGTTGTTCAACACAAAGCTGCACAATGGGCTATCTCTGCTGTGCCTGCTAAAGGTATCGAAACCCAATGTTTTGCGTTATAAGCCTTCAGAATTAAACGCTGTACCACTAGGTGGGGTGGGCTTCAATTTTGGAAAGCTTCTTTAAAAAATCAATATTGGTTTGAATGGGTCCATTACTAAACCAGCGTGTTTAACAACCAACAGTGGAGTCCACAAGTATATCGGGGGTGTTTACAAGATCGGAACTGGAGAGAAATTAGCATCCTCACAGATGAGTACATTTATAAACCCAACTTGGAGGAGTAGGTCCCCCTGTTATATTAGTGTATTTGTAAACTAGTACTGTTGGACTCGTAGTCGGATGGTTGTGTGTTCGAGGATGGCCTGCGTCGTGCTGTTGTGTCAATGAGCAATACATTTTAACCCATTTATTCCAGTCTACCCAGATGTATGACGGGTACCTAGCTGTTAGATTGGGGGGGGGGGGTGTAACCTACGATGGACTGACAGCCGGTTCAGGTGAAATAGGTCACCATTCTCATCCGCTTGCGCCACTTGAAACCGGAGTTCAACACCGTCCTCGTGAAGACACTGCAAGGCTTTAACTTTTAATTCTGGCAGTTTACTACCGCACCAGTGCTTTTATAAACAAACACTGAAAGGGTGTGCCAGGTTTATAAAACAATACTGGAAGGGTCCACTATTATTCCAGTGTACTTGTAAACAAATATTAAAAGGGTGTGATAGGTTTATAAAACAATACTGGAAGGGTCCACTATTATTCCAGTGTACTTGTAAACAAATATTAAAAGGGTGTGATAGGTTTATAAAACAATACTGGAAGGGTCCACTATTATTCCAGTGTACTTGTAAACAAATAT